TCACCCACTTCACTCTCACCTCTCCACCCTCACCCTCACTCGCCGCGAGTTCGTATATGTTAAAGTGTTAACACTTTAATATTGAATCCGCGGCGACGGCGATTTCCGGATGTTATGGATTTATAAGAACATTTGTGAGCCGACCACCTTATAAAATATAAAAAACTGACTATACACTAAACATTTTAGGTTTCTAATGTCATATAGAGCCCTGCAGATTAAACCTAACCTAACTTTAAGTTTAAGTTACGATTTCTATAGATTTAGGTTATGAAATCTTTTATAGGTTAGAATGTGGGCTATGCCAATGACAACCTGTTTGTAATCTAAACATACAACAATAACAATAAAATACACAACAATAACAGAACTTTCGTAGCATCGAGAGCCTAAAGTAGAATTCTGGTCTACTCTTACGAGGGTCTCTCTATTATTTTCCAAAGATTGCATTAAAGAATAAAAGACTAAACCGATTGATTTCTATATTCATGTAAAATGTGATTTATTTTGTATAAGTTTACCTTTCCGACGATGTTTAAATAAACAATAACGATATGGAACAAAGCTGAAGTTTAGGCTTCTGAAACCAGATTTTGGAAAAAAATTCCAAAAGGTTGTATTAGATTAACTTAGGTTAGGTTACGAAAAACATTAACAGTTACATTAGGTTTAGATTGCGAGTTTCATAGGTTAAGTTAGATTTAGATTGTGAAAATTTTTATAGGTTAGGTTATAGGTTGTCAAAAAGTCGTAACCTGCAGGGCTCTTATGTCATCCTGATTTAAACAATTACTGGAGAGAAGACTTTTTAAAGGGATACTCGTTTTTAGACCTGTAGCAGTTCCAGCTCATAAGTTCAGCTCATTTGAGCGAAAGAACTGTTGAACAGCTCTTTTGAAATTTTTCAACGACTACTGCTAAAGCTTTCACGCTGAAGCAAAAGCTTGCTCAACTCGAAGCACTGGAGAAGAACGGTCATACATTTGCGTCATTCTAGACGACTAGTGAGCTGCTCGAACATATCAGCTCCTTTCAAAAGAACTTTTCAACAGTTCCTATGATAGGAGTTGATATGGAACTGTCATACCCCTACTCGTTTTAGAACGATTTTTAGGTGTTCTTCTCCTGGATTCGATCTTCCGACCTTTCATACGCTGTACTTCTCCAACTACGCATTTTCCCATTGCACTAAATTGTGCAAAGGAAACTACCTTCGCATGAAGGCCGTGCACTTATCTCTATATTTAAATAGTCTTTACAAGTGATCACTCACATGTTACTAGCTATACTATACATAAATGACCATACTTAACGTCGATACGAAATGCGTAGTTGGAGAAGTACAGCGTATGATAAGTCGGACGATGAAATCCAGAAGAAGAACACCTAAAAATTGTTCTTAAACTATTACTGTAACACGCTCTTTTTTTAGGCTTTGTCACTGTACAGATAAATTGAAAACAGGGTTTAACGGTCAAAGGCTTCTCTCAGAAGGCTGAAGTTTTGAGACAATAATCAGTTTTTTGATTCCATAAAAAAAATGATTAGTTCGATGTTTCTTTTGTTGTAAACCCGCGGAACCTCGCGCTCTAGAAGCCGATTTTCTAGGATACTCTTCAAAAGCTTATTACAGGTCACAATATCCTTGTGAGTGACACGATATGTGTTTAAGATATTAAAATCATCTAATGAAACTTTTTTTATTTTCAGAAAGAGTGCTAAACAACACTGCCACTACTTTCAATATTAAACTATGTCAATTACGTGCGTATTTCTTTCTAACTGCATTATCATCACTCTATACATCATTCGGTTTACAAGCTATTTATCGTCTATGTCGTATAATTTTCTATAGAAAATTTTATTATCATCAAAATACTCAATTTTATTTCATATTAATTTTTTTGAATTACGCATTAGGTTTTTTAACTATATTACCATACTATTCTTTAGGATGGTTTGAATATTTTGGTACTAATGAATATTTTTGTTATATTAATTTTGTAAATGGAAAACAATTAGTTATAGCAATACCAGGTACCTATGCACTTCCATTAGCTATCTTAGCTATTGTTAATGTTTGGATATGGCAATATGTTCGACTTCGACTACGTCGTACACCTCTAATGATAACATTAACAACACAACGGCGACTGCCACATATAAAACGTGATATTGAAATGTTACGTCGTACAATGATACCTGTTTGTATTTTAATTTTACACGGTCTACCTGGTCTTGGTTTTGTTATTGCAGCAACTATACAAGCTAATGGGATAATTTACTATTTAGGCTATCGTTTAACATTTTTTTCTGTTTCATTATCAATGATCATTATGCCCATAGTTATTATACAATTAACACCGAAAATAAAAGCAGTTGTATTTTTGTAAATGATTCTTTCTCATAAATTTGGATGAGATACTCTCTCTCGCTCATAAATTTGAAAAATCTGAATGTGATATGTGTAGAATCAAGAATCCTATCTTTTGATTTCTTGCGACTGCAAGTTTTGCTTTTGGAAGGGCAACTAGACTTGAGATATACGCGAAAATCTCTAGCAGAGCGGCACTCTAAAAAAAGCTGATGTGTTGACAAAGAAAATAACAAGTCCATCTGTTTTGGGAGGAATTATATTCACGCTCATCATAATGGATTCAATTATCGGTAGTCAATCAAATAAAATATGTAACAGAAATGTTAATTCCTCCACTAAAAAAACGTCTAATCAGATACTGAACAGCTTGGACAAAGGTACCGGCGTGACATTTTTGACACATTAATTCCGGTTTTTTGAAAAAACTATAATAGCTAGGGGGCTGATTTTACCATCATTTTATGCAGCTCGGAATTCTGCATTTATGCCGGAAAAACGCGGAACATCCATTTACATTTACGCGCTACAGAAGTTTCTCAGACGGTAACGCCGTAATAAAAAACAACCTTTTTTTAAGACATTCAGCTTAATGTCTATTCTTCTGCGAATTCTCCGAAGAAAAAGAAACTGTCAAGAGAAAGTTTGTAGAAGAGGTTACGGTCTACACATTGGTCAAAAGAATTTTCTGAAAATGAGCTACGGTTGCTTAGAAAAGTCATTAAACTAAACTAACGCCGTGACATATCTTTTGAAGATAAATATTCGAATTATATAGTATAAACTACTTAATCACGCGCTCTGTAGAAGCAAACAAAGTGAAATTCCTGTGATGAAAAATACTGTGGGAGCATGGATTTACGATGACTTTGCTAAAGCTGAAATCTTGAATGAACACTCCGCTTTTCAAAGATGGTGAACGTTGGCAGCCGAGTAATTACAGACCTGTTACATTGCTGCATATATTTTCAAAACCTTTGGAAAGAGTAGTATATTCTCGTCTTTATAATTACTTGACTAAA